ACACGAAATGAATCTTGTTTTGTGGAGTCGTTCTTTTCTCTGAATTCCCATGAAATATAGATGTCTGTATGTTTCAAAGTCCTATGATAAAGAGATATGTTTGTTTACTGAAACACATTCATGTCTTTATTTTATAAATCTAATTTTGAATCTAGTATGGAGAGTCTGCACGCGATATTATTCATAACACAAAAAACCGTATATACATGTATTAAGAAATATAGCTTGTGCTTTTGTTTCATTACAAAGTGTTTCTTAACCTAGACAGACCTAAAATATGCAGCATTTATACAGTACACATACATTCCTATACTTTTAATTCATAGAGATTTAGTTGAATGAGGGTTTAGATACAATGGAATAAATGTTTTTTGAGAAAAAAAAGTTGACTCCCTTATAAAATACGTGTCTGTCATCCAAAGTAGGACTCTTAGTATTACATGTATCTTCCCACATTTTTTGTTTAAAATAAAATTGGGTGTTATGACTTCTTCCAGTCAAAACACCATTTTATTTTGAAATAAAACATTGTTTATGACTACTTTGTTATGCACTAGAAGGAAACTCTGTTCACATCGTTTAATATGTTCATGCGTTTGGCGAATAAAGATCATTTACTACATTTTAAGTGTGAATGGTTATATCCATCCATGTTTTGCACCGTCAGATATTGAACATTTTGAAGGTTATTATTACTAAGCAGCGTTCTTAGCTCAAGGAACATGTCATCAACGACACTGACTCTATTGAACAGCACAAACTTCTATAGACTAAGTCGATGTAAGAATTAAACCAAAAAGTATATTTAGAAGAAACATTTCATTAAAAAAAAAAAACTCTGCCTAAGCAGTATTCTAGAGCTGAATCTATTATCTGGCATTTCTAACATGATAAAAGGAGGGGTTTAATAGCGTACTTTATGTTGCATTTGCTTGTACATGTATATATTTTGTTAGATTTTTAGATTTTCAGTGAAATGGAGCAGAGTAACTTCGAACTATGTCAATAGCATCAACAATATGACGTATTGGGAATAATTTCACTGACAAGACCAGCTGATAATGAAGACCATCTCGTTGAGATAAGATGCCATTATCGAAGAAAGGACACCAATTATAGGCATATTGTCCTCTGTGTCCTTTGTACATAAGTAACAGAGAACGTCACGTGTGATTTTGCTGAGTAATGTTGACCTTATCCACGTTTGTTGAATTGCAAAGCATTTCAAGACCCGGTACCTGATTTATTTTCTTAAGATAATCAGAAGAAATCTATTGCCTGTCACTCCTAACAACATTTTACTTCAAGAAAGCTCAGTTGAACTTAACAAAGGTCTATGATTATGCATACATGTTGAACAGTGTCAACCTATGTTCGTTTGCTTGTTTTCGACAAATTGTGGTCGTGCAAACTAGTTTTGAACATGAATGAGAGTTGATGTGCATTAATCAGACACTTCTAAGATGTTTTGAGCTATGACTAATTCTTCGCCGGATATTTGTAGATTTTACACATCAAAAACAGATTAATCATTTCCTCTTATATTATGGCACCTACCAAGACAAGATTTCCTGACTGTATATTGAGGAGATTTAGAAATTTCCGAGGGTTTTGGCCTTTACTGTTTCAATTGATATCGATGTACCTACATCTTCGGAAGCCAGGTGGTTTTCTGCCCTGGGGTTAGCGGACCAAAATACCTTGGCTTGCAAAGATGATGTACCAATTATATCTCAATTCTTGAAATTTTAAATACTTGAAATAAGTATTTTAACATTTAGCAGAAAGTCATCTTAAAATTACAAAATTAATTTCTTATTTTCAAAACAAAACGCGTTTTAACCTCTGATGTGCAACTGTTTATTTACAAGGAAAATTAGCGTAAACAGACGGTTGGATCAAAACAACTTGAATATTCTCAATGTAAAGTCGTAAAATTAATTGCAGGAATCGTATTTCAGGTACAATGACTTAGAGTCTAGATTTTTTTCCCCTTTCTCTTTCACGTTTTCGAAGTCGATCAAAACAGACTTTTGTCAATCAGGCATTAATTGAGGAAGAGAACATGTCAATCCAATTGGACTTTATTTCATCTGCTGAGTTGAATTCTGTGTAAATAATGGATTCCGGAAGTTCATTAACTGCTCGGGAAAATAGAATGAATCGTCTTTTCACCTTCCTTCGGTATACGTTAGCGATATCGATTTTAATTACACTGAATAAACTTCTAATGTTGCCAATCAAGGGAACAAGGAATCAAATTAGTTTGCCAGCCTGAACTTGGGAGGAAAATTTGTAATGATCAGGAAAATTCTCTCAGGCAGTTTACTAAAACACAGGCAAATTTATTCCAACCCTAACCTCAACGAACAATGTCCCCTTAATTGAACATAGATTCCGGACCATAAATTCTAAGGCTTCTTTTAAAATACCAATGTACTTTTAACATAGAAAGAAGCTATTCCCGCACAGGGTTTTGTGTAACCAGGCCCCAAGACACTAAGAACAAACATGTTCGAAAAGTTAAAAATCTGAAAAATATTCAAACACTCATTGAAAATTTGTTTGTATTTTCTTAATTCAAAAGTTGTATACTAATTTGAAATTTTGACATGACTTGAGTCTCTGCTTAGTTTATGATCTTAGGGTCATATTTCAGCATGGCCAAGGATAATTACTACAGTGTGACGTGTATGGATTTACTCCGAATATGATCATCCTCATCCTTTTGCTTATTACTGAATGGTTTTAATATCAATTTTAGCAAATTTTCAAAATTGACAAAATTTCTGAAATTTTTAGATGTGCGAGTTGATTTCGTATTGCATGTAATGTAATAGATACACTAAGGTTGTCATTTTTCATTACCATGCCAAGTTTTTTCATTACTGCTAGTAAAACGAGAAGCCCATGGATTTTTTTTTCAGTGTCTTTTACCAGCTGTAATTAGTTACGCAATCTGAGAGGCTAACAATATATCACAGAATTGCTTTTTTATTGTATTCCAGATGTATTGAAAAGGATCCTCAAAGATAAAATACGAAACTAACATATATCATTTTTGTCATATTCAATCGAATATTTTTGGGAAAACATAAATCATGTTTTCTAAAGGAACGAAGTGTACATAATGAGATCAGTAACCTGTGAAATAGCGTAGGGTTTGTTTATATTTGTTGACGTTATTTGTGTTTACGTTACGTAATTTTCTACATGTCAATGAAAGGTTCAAAAGTTCACAGTCCATCGTACCCCCGGGGTCTGAATTTGTGCGTCATGGTCAGTATATAATGCGACACTATTTTATCGTAAATAGTACGTAAAGGAAAGTACTAACGCAGTAGGGAAATAGTTTTCACTCTGTTTACAGAATACATATTTAAAAATACAATGTCGAAATTTTTTATCACGGGATTTCTTAATTAATCAAATCAGAATGAAAATACGAAAAAAACCTTCTTATCCTGACAATTATGCAACTTTTATGAGAGAAAAGGCAAATTACTTCATTTATATACACAACGTTTTGTTTTAGAAATAAAAACTTAATCTATCACGCATTTATTTAAAAGGACGACAAAAGTGCAAATTATTGCAAGTTCCATTTTTAAGGTCTTTAGATATTCTTTCCCATTTTGTACATGGTCACTTCGTCGTTGCATGTTTTACATTTTATTGCGCATGACTTCTGTTCTAGCCCTTCTATAATGGCTGACAAAGCTGATTACATCGCATGATGTGATGTAATAGGTTTGACATCTGATTTCTTTTGTTACACAGTACCAGGTACCATGTTTTTGGTCTTCCTTCGTATCTCGTACATGTTTTGTTGGCACTGGGTTTAATTTACATTTGAAGATTATTTACCAGCGCATAAAGATACAAGCTTAACAATATGTTGACAAAGTCCTTGGCTTGTTGACTTAACGTTCGAAGCCTGCGCAAATAAAACCGGAATATAAAAAGATGTAGAAAGGGTTTTTTGTATCATATATAAAAATGTCAGAAGATATTTATTGACTGTATTTTGGACTCTTTTATCTTTCCATTAATGTATAGTTTACCAGTTACAAAAACCTCCGTCTCGAAATATTAGTTTTGATTTTAAAAAAAGAGAACCTTTCATCAAAAATGACACATATACATGTATTTGCATCAGATCCGCCTCCTGGACTATTTTTGCTTCTTTGATAGGGGGAACAAATGTCCTGAAATCACCCAGCAAACACCCTTGCCAAATATATAAGAGGTTAATCCAAATACACAAAAACGTATATCCTTGTCGTCTAATCTATACTGACTAAACCCACCTTGAAGATTAACCTTGTCCCGCTAGCATTGAAGCCAATTTTGGTGCTAGGTACTTAATGCGCCTTTTATTAAATTAACACCAATGTGTACTAGTAGGTCAGAGTAATGATCTTATATAAAATATATACTCCATATTTACAATCATCAATAATAAATTTCCAATCTACAAAATACGATTCTCGATATTATCAATCGTACTTAGATGTACAGATTAAGGTGCAAGAACTGAAACTAATACTTTGAACGGTTTTCTTTTTTGACACAAAGAATGTGTCGTCTTAAGTATTCATCCTTTTTGATTTTCACCTTATTGCAAAACTGGCTATCTATCATATTACTGACAATGGGAAGCACAACCTATTTCCTTCTCCAGCCTTTACACAGCAAATGAGGAATTCGACCTCACCGAAATAGCTAGTAAAAGATATAAATAGTCTGGTCTGGTGTAGCCCTAGGCGACTCTATGTCATCTTTGTTGGCAGTGAAGTTTGTCAAATTTGCATTTTTGACAACGATAAGCCAGGGCATTTATATTCTTATATTCGTCTTAGTTTCCGAGCATTATGAAACTAAATATTTCCAGTAATGCCCACCGAAGATATTATGAAAACTTTGCAAAAAGGGCTAAAATGGTATATTCGTTTAATAACATATCTAATATACATGGTTAATATGTTAATCTTCAATGGTTCTTTGATTACAATAATATGAGGGACATATACTTGTAAAAGAATTATTAAAATCTTGTCCCATTAATTTACCTGCAGTTTTCTCAGCACTGATGATAAAATCCCCAAAATATCAAAGAGAAGTCACTTCCGTTGCTTCCGCGACAAGATTCTCAAGACCGGAAGGAAAGTCGCACACTTCGTCTTCTCCAATACTTGTGTCGTCATTAACATTTAGTCCATCCTTAGAATCCTGGTCCTGTTCATGAAATCCCGATTCCGAACTTTCATCATCGGAATCGCCATTCATCAAACAATACTGCACATCGTTGTCATTTTTCAGTTCCTCCAGATTATTTCCTATCTCTAGGTCAATAATTCGAGGAACCAACATCTCGAGTCCATCGTAACCGGATTCGCACGAACTCACAGCCTCGGGTCCCTTTGTCAGATTCAGGGCTTTAACAGTGTCCGATTCCGATTTCTCATCGTCACTGTCGTCAATATCACTGCTGCTTTCTTCCTCTAGCGCTTCATCCTGTTCTGTATCTTCACTTATTGCACCTAGTCTTGGAGCCGTATTTGATTTTGAAATGGGCGGTTTGAAATTTTTGCCAGCGCTCAAAATTTGAGTCCTCTTAGGCAAGACCTCACCTGACTGAGGTACTGAATTTGTTCTTTGTAACACTAAGCGGGAATTTTGTTTTCTCGTCTTTTCTCGCATAAACTCTTTGAGAGCAAATTTCAGTTTTTCATGTAGTTGTACAGCCATTGCTTTGGCCTTTGCCTCCGTTTTGCACAACACTGCATGACAACGAAGTTCGAGTTTCATTTTCTTGCCTTCATGCCGATACACCCAGACAAAGAGTCTGGGATATTTAGGATGAGCTATGCAGTACGATATTCTATGAGCTCTATATTCAGTCACTCCTTGTTCCTTTGTGTGCGCACGCAATCCGGAACTGGAAATCGTAAGTTTCATGTCTAATCCCGGATGTGAACTCCGAACATAGTTATTCCAAATCACTGTCACGGGTTTATCAACACAACCATCACCCCGCATCAATGTAGTTTGAACGTTTCCAAGGTAACGAACTTTATACGTAGGTTCTTTGTCACTGATAGACAAATTCTTTCTCCAACCAAACAGACTCATTTTGCTGGACAACAAATTTCAATCAAGAATCGTTTCAGTTCATTTCTTCCTGCAAAAGAAAAAAAACCAATTACACAGGTTATTGTAAATTTCACATATAAATCAAACAAATTTGGAAAACAAGTTGAATCGTGGTCAAGTGAATAATCTCAGGACCTTCTCACATGTTGAAACAGTAGGTCATTACCGAACATGCTCCTACTTGAACACATTCATCGGCAAAAGAAGAAGAAGGCAAATCCATAATTGACCATAAATAATGAAAATCATTTAATTAGGTTAAAAAAACCAAATAAAAACAACCCAGTTTTATAAGTCGAAAATGTATTTTGGAATATTTTAAATTAAGGACTGGCGACAGAATTTCTATAAGACCAAGTCAAATGTGTAAATGTTCTCTCATACACAGTCTTAATTAGTATGTTAATGTGAAAACTGACAGACGGGAACCCACATTTAAAACTAACACAGGAGAAAAAAAGATAAAATTTCTTTGAGATTTATTACTACGTATAAATGGTTAGATCCTTTTCATTAAGTTGACAGACAGTATCTAAAATATTTGAATTTCTGGTCGAGGCTGTTCTCGACACAGATAGCAATATATATTCTTATAGCATAAAGTTATACATATTCACTAAAACACTTGTTCATTAGCCAAGAAAAAGTTTTACTTTGTTCATTGTAGCGTCAAATGTTGACCAGTTTAATATTTCAAAAGTCATACCCGGTTTAAGTTCAATATATTGCATGACTTGGCATCTACTCTAGGACAATGAATAATGGCCAAATATCGTTTGTATCAAAGTGTGCTAAGTTGGTTCTCTCAATAACTATATAACTACATTTGTTTTATTCTGTGATTAATTAATTAGAACAATGCACGTTCATTTTCAGCTAGGTGTTGTCCTTTTAAGCAGATTAGTTTAATGTGTATAATTTATGTAAATCTTCCCACGAAATGTGCCTAAGAACACTTTGCAGTATGAATGCAAGGTTATAAAATTCAATCGTAATTTATGAAACTTTCCTTGTTCATTACATTCTTTGTCCTTGTTCGAATGGAGGTGTATTACATACAAAGCTAAAATTGCATGTCTTGGAGCAAATTTTTCCCCTCGAAGAAGGACAGAAAGTGATATGTTTAACACCAAACCAATTTAATGAACTTGATTAGTTCTTTTCTTAGAGGTTTCGATACTTGGACATACCATGGTATAAATGATTATTGTTTTTACCGCTTAGCCTAGCACAAAATATTTAATCAATGTCTTACATACGTATACTTTTAATACAAACTATTGTAAAATTTCCTCCAATAACAATGAACATTACTTCCAGTTAAAATATTTAAAATCCAAAAACTCGGTGAAGACACGGTTGTGGGTATCGTTTTTTCTAATTTTGTTATATGCTTGTCAGCAATGTGTAATCTAAAGGGGAAATTTAACAAAAGGACACGAAAAAGGTGTTTTACATGAAAATATTCTTTTTTCCTTATTGAGTACCTGCCACTTACGCAATGAACTTTGCTTATATAATGCGATCTAAAAATGCATATTTTACATGAGAGGATACTTAATGCCATTTTTGATTCCGGTATGATAGTCTTGCCAATTAAGAGTCGAGTTGTGCATATTTTATCATACGATTTTGAATACTCTTTATGCTCTTTAAGATTCTGGTATTTAGTGTTACCACAACTGTTTTATTTTCTTGAATTAAAATAAATAAAATAACGATTGATTTTGCAAATTTCTACATCCTTTTTTTTTCAGAACACCATGGTCGCCATGTTCAGTAAATGATGTGCATGTATGAGACAGATGCAATCTATCCTGCACACATGCACCTGTTAGTCTGCATTATAATAGTGGTCCATACGTCAAAATGACAACCACATGTCATTTGTGACAAGGTTTTTTTTTTTTTGTTTTGTTTTGGTCAGTTACTTCTCGATTTTGTTTTTCTGAAATGTCGTAATGAAGAAATTACTTAGCAGTCGTTGAGCCTTTTAAGAAATTGTACACAGGCAATGAGAATTACGTGATTTGTTTATAAAAAATATTTAATGAAAACAGGTTGCAGTGAAACGGATCTTGAGGGCTGTATATAGTTTGACCCCTTTGTATTATTTCGTTGTCGGCATTACATATTAGATGCGGTTAATTGCGCTAAGATTTGGATGCGCATTAGATTTTCATTTTTTTTTTCATGTATACATAATGCACTTGTCTAGAATTTCTAAATGATGCCATCAAAAAGCTCAGTATGGTTATTAACAGCAGCAAGATCTTATAACTTGTTATGACAATCTGTGTCACTGATGTAATGTCATTTTGTTCCGTCTATTTTTTGTTAACACATTGCACAGAAATTCAGGTCAGGTGCCAAAACACAAGCTTCGACCAGTTAAGCCAACCAATATCTCTCTCTCTCTCTCTCTCTCCGTGTGTTGTGAGGGTGTGTGTGTGTGGGGGGGGGGGGGTGACTGCAATTAGAAGAAATTAGTGCTCTTGTTTAAAAACATGTCGTCATACAAGGTCTGTCATGATAGCTGCCACTGGTGTTCACATACATTTTCTATGAGGCTGTTACATGTACAATAACTGCATGCAACTATGATGTACACCTAATTTTCTTTATTAAGTATAAAAGGTGCTATTTTTCAACTTAATATACCATGTCTAGTTCAAAAAAATTAAAACAAGGATATAGCATGCCATCCAATTTTGCGGTTTGAACTGTCTCTTTTTTTCAACTTCTCAACAACGCATATATTTACATTTAAAATTGGAGAGTTGTGCGATCATGGTACGTATATATAAGTAATCCGTCTAGAGAAAATCAGCCCGAAGATTACAAAATAATCAGATGCCAGATTGAGGATAAAATCACTGACCTGAATAACTAAGCTCAACACACATTTGACAGGCGCAATGAACTAAACCGAGGAACCTACATATTGCAGGAAAAACGAATACATTAAATAAATGTAGACGTTTCCAGGCGTCTAGCCGTACGGGCTAATTCGACCCTCAGGGCCCGGGGGCCCCGGTAGAGCTGTGACAGTTCCAGCTCATATGATTGAGCGATCTTTGCCGATTACTGATCGAATTATTATAACACTTTATCTCCGTGTCATACAGGCTCATCTACAACACGTGAAATGACATGCATTGGTGGGTTTATATTCTTATAACATTTGTAACAATGAATTAAAACTCAAAAACGTCCTAGGTCTCTAAAAATAGCTAAAATCTCACCTTCTGTATTTTATTTCCGTGTTGTCCAAGAATATCTTTTAAAAATTTAGATATTTGTTTCTTCCAATACAGGACACGTTTTTGGAGTAAAGTAATCCATGACTTTTATAACGACATCATTGTAACGACACACTTTATAGTTTCCACCAAGAAATTATACATCCAACTATCGATCGATGTTTAAACACTGCCTTGTACGTACACCTTTTCTCCGATATGACAAGTCCTATTCAGGTGAGTCACGTGATACAAGCTAGGTTCTTCGATTGGCTTATGCGTCCCAGGTGAACTCTTGAACAGGTAAGAAAATATTTAACACATTCCTTCCTATTGTGGGCCTGTAACGATTAAATATACCCCTTACCAAGCGTGTTTAGTGAACAGTATTCAAACACTCAATGAAAACCCGGGTAGTTTTAATAATTCATAAGGTTTCAAAACAGTTCAAAACTTAATACTGGCATTCTAAGGGGGATTTAAAGCGCGAAGTCGAAAATATTAATGCTTTACGAAAAATGGCTTAAATGTGTGAACTTCGACTTTCGGATATTGTTGTTATATAATTCTGATTATCTAGTTCTTTATCAGATTTTTAATCATCATTAGATATATTAAAGGTGCATCAAACATTTAGAATTCTCGTGATTAATTTTAAATTGTTGTATATTTATGAATCATCACATGCACTTTCAAACATGCTAAATTTGATGTTACAGAATTAGTACGAGACATTAAGCATATCAGATGAATATAAAACTCCTGCAAAATACAATATACCTGTAATCAAGAGGTGATGGTTATTTTGGAAGTAAATTGAACCAGTTCATTTGCAACATCGGATACCATGATAAGAATCTAATTATAATTCCATATGAGAAACAAAAGAACAAGTTTAGTTCTCAAAATATTCATATGATCTGTGTACATTGTACAGCACTTATGTCAAATTGAACAACACTCATCATCCATATGCCGATACTAAACAAATAGTCTTGTTTTTAGAATAAAAATCACAGTACTCAACATGACGGAAGTTATAGATACATTTTTGTTAATATAGAAATAGATACGCTGAGAGATTTGGTTACTATTTGCAAATATTTTAAAATAAAAAAAAATATCTGCAGTTTTTTTAATTCTTTGATGATGTTAAATAGGGATTAACCTACTTTTTTTAGTGTAGTGTTGGTATATGGGTTATACATTTTTATATATGATACTTGTCTGAAGTAACACAGGATGCTGCGAGTAGGATGCATAATTAAACCTATAATTAACCTTCAAATCACTTACACAATTTTAAAAGTTAAAATTTCCCTGTAACTCTTTATGACGCATTTGACCTATTGAACTTCAATTTTCGAGTGTTGATACTTGATTTTGTCAGAATATACGTTTGCTAACTGATCCGTAAAATACCACTGATCCTTGACACATTGTATTGACATTTTCGTCATATGCCCTCCGAGAAAGTTAAAATTTGCTGAACTTTGAAAATATCTGGCAGATACTGTTCAATTGACGTCAAGCACTTGTGTTTAGATAATAAAAAATTCTAATGAACAGCTCTTGATATGTATGAGTGGAGACCACAAATATATATGTACACAAAAATAGTAAAACTATAATAAATGATAAGTTAATTACACAAAGTTAATGATTTCAATTTCTTTTCAGGATATTTGAGTCATTTGATGTATTACTGCTAAATTACCCATTTCAGATCTAGTTTTCCCTATAGCAACTCTTCATGTTATTCACGAAACTCAAGAGCCTTTCTTGCTTTTTCCACACATTTCATAAATACATTCCCATGGGACGATTTGACTAAACTGCAACAAAAAAGGAGGGGAAGGCAGAGGCAATCGGATTTTCATTGATCATTTTGAACAGTAAAAAGGTTATGTTTAGAAAAAAAAGCCCCCCCCCCTCCCCTCCCCCGATACTTCGTACCTACTATATCCCTGTTGTGCCTGCTTTCATTAGAAGACTATAATAAGGAAATTGAGGAAAATCATTTTTGTGCTGTGTCATAGATGTATAAAATTTTCATCTATTTGACATTCTCCAAAACCACTGGCTTATTTCAACTTAACTTGCCATAAAGCATCCCTTGATAGTTTGGATTTCATTTCCTTCAAATGCAGGACCAAAGTGAAGAAAATCCAAATGGAATGAAAAATGTACGGTATGACCATTTTAAAATTATAAATCTTGTCAAGACTCACAAAAAGCCAATTATGGCAAAACTTAGAACGTATAAGTTTCCCTATGAAATGAAGATTCAAGTCTGCATGTTCAAAACATTTCTTCGTGGCACCGAGATGGGAACACAGTAATTCCGATGTTTTATACAGAAATACGTGTTTATCAGATAAATATTCAAGTATTTTCTTCTACATAAGGAACTGCAATTCTACAAACTGTCAACTTTATATATGTCAGCATCCTTTGCGTGGTATTGATTCACTCGAGGGATGTCAACAAGTACATGTACTAGATAATTCAATTATCGCTTTGTCATACCGATCAAAGGTTAAAAGATGTATCACTCGATAAAATAAGGATCTAAATTGGAATATACCAAGGGAAGAATGGACTTGCTTTTAAATATATGAACTAAATAGAACCATACGTTTCTTTTTATAGTCCAAAAGATTTCGTGGAAAATATCATATTGCGAAGAACATTTACTCACTTTACATATTACATAAATTAAGACGGGCGAAAACACGTCAAGATGGACAAAAGAGAAATAAAACCTGAAAAATCATTTTTAGCAATACATGTAAAAGTTTAAATGATATAATATTTATGATATCGTGCTAAAGTGTACTTTGTTTTGTTTCACTATCTCTAATCTACAGTTAACTATTACGTGTATATTCATGCATTTTTAAAGCAATCATCAAGGTCAACAGTATCGTTTATAAGTACTATACTAGTATATAGTACAGACCTTCTGGGAACTTGTTTGTAAGGAATAGCTCTCTATGAATAAGTTGCACCTTTGTAACTGAGTGGATCCCATCGCCAAAGAAATATTTAGAAAGAATGTGTTTATAGGTGAGAAGCATTGGCATGTTTGGAATTTTATAATTATACATGTAGATGGGTAAAAACACAATGATACGTACAAAATTTTCTCTCTCTGTGTTTTTTGAAACTTAACATGGAGTCTGCATCAATTCGACGACATACTACAAAAGTTACGCCAGATTGAAATGTCATGTTTTTAAAAAAATGAAATTAATTTTTTTTTTCTTTCTTTCCTACTGCGTGGTCAAAACACAGCCGCTTGTCACGAAATATTTGCCATCTTTAAATATAGTATCCCCTACTATATTTTATAGAAGGGGTGACTATATTTAAAGAAGGCAAATATTTCGTGACAAGTTCCTGTGGTCAATGAGCAGCAAAGTTTATTCAATGTCCGCCGTTCTTCCCTTTGTTTGTCTTCCTGACTGCTGTCTCTGTCCCTGTATGGATGCAATCATTTCTTCTTTTTTTTTTTCAAATAAGCTACTCTGACGAGAATTTAGTCTAATTTCAACTTGTTCTGATACACATGTAGACTAAGGCAAGTAAGGTCGTTTTTTTTTTTTAAAGTTTGTGTGGGGGTGGGCGGTGAGAAAAAAAAGATGTACATTTCCATTAAAAAAAATTAGGTGACTGATTGCTTTTGGATACTGAGAAACCATTTTAAGTAATTCAAGATAGATTTAATTCTAAATTTTATTATATTCAAAATGTCTGTTTATGGTAAATATCCAAAATACTTGGATTGCATGTTCTCTGCTATCAACAACTGGAAAATAAGAATTATATACAATAAACGTTTAAAGTGAGTATAAACCGAAATTTATTCTCTGTCTACAAAAATGTTGAGGTCAGGGCGTACAATGTAGCTACATGAACGTACATGAGAAATCTCTTTTAAAATATATTATATATTTTTATATCTCTAGAACAGCAGGCGCTACAATTTTTCAACTTCAGATACTATTGTCTCTTTGTCTTGGACATTCAAGTTTGCTCTGTTTCATCAATGTCATTGTTTACCACTCAGGTGACTGTTAAGGCCCATAGGTCTCGTGCGTATATTGACGTATGTTATCACTTTAATTTCCTTTTTTTTCATATACATATGTATATATTTCTAAAAGGAAAATCAAAGGCAATTGGACACTTTCCGACCTCAATCAGAGGTCTTTTAAGCTTTGGAATTAAAGTGATATCAAGTTATACTCAAAAGCTCTAACACATTTTACGTGGTTTATCTTTCTGTGTTGAACAAAGGAAAATGTTTTCAGTATTGAATAATAAATATTGTACATAAAGCGTTAAAGGAATGAAATTTTGCAGCAGTTACTCTTCCTGAAAGCATGTAAGGAGAGGAGTGGTACAGAAATAGTTTACAGTCATGTGATTCGCAAACCAATGCAGGCATTACAAAGAATTATTTTGAAAGCTTTAAATATGGAGAAAATAATCCAAGTTGAACATCCTTTGTGTCAAGACATTGTTCATCATTAAAACAAGAAAAACGCAGAAACCCAGCTGAGAAATGGAAAAATTGATACATTTTTAATTAAGTTATTTGTCAAAATATCAGGATATAATACTGTGGTGTAATATCGCAAATTAATAATCCAGAGACACGAGTACGGCAAAACAAAATAATTGATATTTCTAACACGTTAATTGAGTGTCGTGAACGAAAGGAGCATTTCAAAAACAAACAACACGAACTTATTTTCTACCGAAATTAGGGGCTAAGGTCCTGTAGAAAACGAAACAAGTGCCATAAGCTAGAGACTGATAGCCACGATCCACCAGATAGACACATGGAACGACGGCAAAACAATGTTGACGTATATCACATAACCTAACGAGCTTTCGCAAATCATGAATATGAAGACACGAAAGAATGACACATGTAAATGCGTAAGCAAATTATATGTAGCTCCAAAAAAGGTCAAGTATAGAAAACCACCCAAAATAAGACGATTAAAACCATCATATATCAAATGCATATTGTACATAATGTAAAGAGAACCACGTGTCAGAAGCTCAGTTTATAACTATCCTGGGTCAGATAAATACAACCATAACATATCATGAGTTCATAAACACCCTGGGCCTGGGTCAGATAGATATAACAACAACATATCAGAAGTTAATAACCATCCTGTGTCAGAACATATCAGTCTTTCATAACCACCCTGGGTCAGATAAACAGAAGCGACAATATATCAGAGCCACCTGGGTAATAAAATACTAGTATAACAAGTTCATAACCACTCTGTGTCGGATAAATATACTCAGTGACCAAAAGAGGTCAGAAGTTCATAACCACCCT